GTGTTAACTTCTACAAAAGGAGGTTGATTTTGAGTTTGGTGATGCATGTAAAAGTGCATTTGATCGTTTGAAGTATTTGTTGACATCCACCCCCATCATCCAGCTGCCAAATTGGGATCTCCCATTCGAGATCATGTGCGATGCTAGCAACACCACGGTTAGGGCAATTATGGGAGAAAAGGTGGACCGAGCTCAACATGTCATCTACTATGCATCCAAGACTTTGGATAATGCACAAGCCAATTGCATGACAACTAAACAGGAGATGCTAGACATTGTTTTCACATTAGAAATGTTTGGACAATACCTCCTTGGGACCAAAGTGATTATCTATTCGGACCATTCAGCCTTGAAGAAACTATTACTCAAGAAAGATTAAAATCCGAGGTTAATACGGTGGATGTTGCTGCTGCAAGATTTTGATATAGAAATCAAAGATAAAAGTGGAAAAGAAAACTTTGTCACGGATCATCTCAGCCGTATTGTGCCACCCGAAGAAAAAACACCAATCCGAGACACATTTCCAGATGAACATTTATTTATGGCCAAAGATGCACCATGGTATGCAAATATCGTCAACTACTTGGTCACGAATCAATTTCCCCCGAATTCCACACATTGGCAAAAGGATAAAATCATGAAGGAAGCCAAGCGATACATATGGGATGAGCCTTACCTTTGGAAGTATTGTGCAGACCAAATGATCCGAAGGTGTATTGAGCAACAAGAGGTACAATCCATCCTTGATTTTTTTCATTCATATGCTTGTGGAGGTCACTTTGGACCCCAAAGGACAGCTAGAAAAGTCTTAGATAGCGGATTTTTTTGGCCTACCATTTTTCACGATTCCTATGTGTTTTGTGCACATTGTGATAAATGTCAAACATTTGGGTCCTTAACCTCTAGGAATCGAATGCCCCTTACCCCCATTTTAGCATGCGAGATCTTTGATGTATGGGGTATTGACTTTATGGGACCATTTCCGCCCTCTTTTGGTTGTTCATACATTTTGTTGGCGGTGGACTATGTGTCCAAATGGGTGGAGGCCAAAGCCGCCTGTACTAATGATTCCAAAGTTGTGGTGGATTTTCTTAAAGCACAAATTTTCTACCGGTTTGGCACACCAAAGGTTCTCATAAGTGATCGTGGAACTTACTTTTGCAACTGGATGCTTGAAGATGTAACATCCGGAATTTCAATTATTATATTTATTCTTTTAAAATTCAAGTTTTGTGGAAGGAATCGGCGAGTTGATGCGTAGACTCGCCGAGTAGAGATGCGAATCATTATCCGGGTGAACGGCTGGACTCGGCGAGTCACCCCAACTACTCGGCGAGTCCATGTTGTTTAATGAAGCCCTAATTCCTCGGGTTTGGGGCCTATTTAAAGGGCCTTATGGCCGTCATTTGCGGCTACCAAACCCCAGAGAGAAACCCTAAGTGTGCTAGAGCGTTTGTGAGAGGGAAAGGAGCTATTTCTTGATCTTTGTTGGTGTTTTTGCAAATAGAAGAGGACCAAGACAAGAGGAGGCTGAAGAGGGTGATAAGCTAGTGATTCCAGAGCTCAGAGACTTCATTTTGAGGTATCCATTTGAACCCTTCTTCAGTTTATGATGTGATTCTTAGAGTTAGGGCTTTTTAGCCCCATTAGAGGATGATTATATGGAGTGATTGGTCCCTTCTTGTGTTGGTATTATAGATCTGGACCCAAAGATGTCCAGAGACCCTTTCCCCTTGAGCTTTATGAGCATTAATGGAGGTTATGAACTTAGGGTGTCACCTTAGAGGCCATATCTTCAAATAAGGCCTTTGAGCCTTTGCATGTGCATCAAGATGTTAGATTTACGTGTTTATAATGCCTTGGGAACCTGGATCTATGGTTTAGAGAAGCGGATCTGACCTCAAGAGGTCAGTTCAGCTAGAGCATGGCATGGACTCGTCGAGTCCTTTAGCCGACTCGACGAGTAGGATGAGGTTTTTCCCGATAATCACATAGTTGGTGACTCGCTGAGTTTGGGAAGTGACTCGGTGAGTCAGAGGGAATCTAGAGGACAGAGTGCATGATGGTACTCGCCGATTCAGGAGCCGGAATCAGCGAGTTGGGTCAGGACATTTCAAAGATTTTGATCAGTGATGATTTCCAGAGTTGAGGTTGACTCAGTGAGTCGAATGAGGACTAGGAGAGTGAAGAGCCTGTGTGGACTCGCTGAGTCACAGTTGCACACTCAACGAGTTTGGTCAAGGTTGACTGTTGACTTCGTTGACTTTTAGGGTTAGTCAATGTTTGGACCTTAGTGTCATTGGAAGGGTAGGATAGTCTTTTACCCTTCCTAGTGGATGTATTGAGAGGAGGAGATTAGCCTAGCCATGAGGGTTGTATTAATTAGGGTATTTAATTCATGTGAATAGGCAGAGGCTAGACCAGAGTTACCGAGTCAGAAATTTACTAGGACATCCGAGGTGAGTCTTCTCACTATACTTTACCTTGAGTAGGTAAATAGAGTTATGTGATACAGTGTTTCATATATATTGTTTGTTGCACTGCATTCTTCTATGTGATTTATGTTGTGCATGCTTGCAGAGTTAGAACCTGAGGGTTCACAGAGTTTGGGTGCACGGACCCACAGAGTTATAGCCTCGAGTGGCTAATATGTGTTATATGTGGTATTTTGGGGAACTCACTAAGCTTTGTGCTTACAATGTTTTGTGTTATGTGTTTCAGGTACTAGTGAGGATCGCGGGAAGACGCCGGCTTGATTAGTACACACACGGGATTTTTATGCTATGAGATCTTGGGATTGATATATGTTATGAATTGAGTTTCAAACAATGATGCTTTTATGATTAATAAATGAATTATGTTTTTATAAAATGCAAAAAATTGTTTTGGAAATTTACGTTGTTACAGAAGATGTCCTGGAGAAGTATGGGGTGACTTATAAAGTCTCAAAAGCCTATCACCCTCAAACCAATGGGCAAGCTGAGGTCTCCAATAGGCAAATCAAAAGCATTTTGGAGAAAACGGTCAATCCGAATCGCAAAGACTATAGCATAAGGCTGGATGATGCCTTATGGGCATACCGTACTGCTTTCAAAGCACCCATTGGTATATCCCCATATAGGTTGGTATTTGGAAAAGCATGTCATCTACCAGTTGAGCTCGAACAAAAAGCTTTTTTTGGCCATAAAGAATTTCAACTTGAATGAAGAGGAGGCAGGACACAAAAGGAAGCTAGACATCCAAGAGCTAGAGGAGATCTGAAATGATGCGTATGAAAGTAACATGATCCATAAAGAAAAGACAAAGGTGTATCATGACAATATGATATCCCGAAAGACTTTTGCACAAGGAAAAAAAGTGCTTCTTTATCACTCAAGGTTCAAGTTTATTTCAGAGAGATCAAGATGGGTTGGTCCTTTCGTAGTCACAAAGGTATTCGACTATGGTGCGGTGGAAATCACAAGCCAACAAACTGGAAAACCACTCAAAGTTAATGGTCATAGATTGAAGCCGTTATATGAAGGATTCGAGGTGAAGTATGATGAGATAGAAGTTGTTGGGAACCCCACGTACCAAGACTGAAAGATATTTGGAGGCAAAGTTGAGCCAATGACTTAAAACAAGGGCAGCTTACCGGGAGGCAACCCGGGGGTATTTTTATCTTTTTCTTTAAAAACAATTTCCATTTCTTTGAGTTTTTGTTTTTTTTTTATGTTCCAAATGCATTCAAACATGATTTAAAGTCACCAAACATACCTTGGGATGCAAAAGCATTTCATTTGAATGAGAAGAAATTTTTTGGGTTCAAAAAGTGGAAGTGGCAATTAAAGGGGTACACGGCCCGTGTTCCTCTTGCCTCACAATGAACACGGGTCGTGTTCATCAATGGAAAACAATCCTAGAGTCAGAGGGGTACACGGCCCGTGTCATTTTTCCTTTATGACCAACATGGGCCGTGTTCAGCCAAATCTCGCACATTTTATGCCCAACACGGGCCGTGCCAATTTGCCCTTATGCCCAACACGGGTCGCGTTGCGCATCAGACTTGGTGTTTTTTAATACTAAAAATCGGGTTTTTGCCTCATTCTTCCACCCACTCATTCCAAAACAACCCTTTTCCCCCAAGAAAACCCCAAGGTCCTTTTCATCAAAAATCCCTTGATTCTTCACAATTTTGGTTTAAAACTTCAAAAAGGTTTGATTTTCATCTTCCCCACTTCATCTCCTAAATCTAATACACCATTTTATTGCATTTTCATGGTGGATTTGGGGGTTTTGACAAACCCTAGGTCCGAAAATTTCTTAGGATTCTGGTGTTTTTGTGCTTATTTCTTCATGTAGGCAAGCTTAGGGAGGTTGAAGACGGTCTTTCTCACCAATTACAACACATTTCCACTAACGATTCGGTACATTCTTTCTTATTCTTCACTTGTGGAATTTGTGTTCTTTAGGTCAAATTGCATGTATCTATGGTCATTTTGGACTTGACAATAACTTGGAAATCATTCAAAACTGAGTTTCCTACGAATTTTTGGTGGCAAAACTTCAGTTGACCGGACCCGTCAATAGTTGACTTTTTGACCGGTTGACCGGTTGACTTTTCATCTTTGCCCCATCTTTTGCATATGATGGGTGAGTTTTCTAAACGACTGAGGCATACTAACGCCTCAGCCCATCGTTGTAGTACCCCATCACCGCCATCTAGGTCCCCGTCACCCCCGCCTTAATCCCCACCCAATCCGGCCCATGGTGGTGTGGTTTGTCTTGGGCCTATTCAAGCTGCCAAAATTGAGGCCTTTCTCCAATGCGCGCATACTACCCAACAATTTGTACATGTGCCATCTCTCCATGAGTTGCACATCTACAACCAAGTCCACACCTTGTTCCGGAACATTAGATGGCAAGGGTTGTTAAGGGTCCACGAGCTCGGCTATAAAGTTCCAATAGCCAAGTTTTTGTCTTCAGTCTATTTGGACCACAGTGTCCTTCATTTCCGACTTATGAACCAAGATCATGCCTTGTCCCTAGACCAAATCAATGCCATAGTTGGGGCTCCTACAGAACACACATTTGGCCCTAATAATCCAATCCCAGGATACAACGATCTTACGTGGTGGACCGATTTTATGCGTCAGCTTCCCTATGTCTCAAGTTCTTCTAAGGCATCGTCTCTCATCCACCCTGTGATGAAAGTGTACCACAAGATTATTGCTTCACTTGTCATCCCTAGAGAGGAAAGAAGCACCATTAGCACCCTTGAGCTCAAAATACTCTATGCTATGGCCTACTCGGACGATAATCTTATTCCTCACTATGGCTCATTCCTATGTAACAAACTCACCCGCCTCAGCACATCACGATCTGACAAATTATCTTGTGGTGGCATTGTATGTTTATTTTCCAAAAGCGCTCCAGTCCGAGCCCCATACCACGAAATTCACCAACCTCTTCCTGATGAAACCTACCTTACCACGGAAATCCTTTAGTCTATGATAATGTTTTGGGTGGAGTATGGGAACCATAATTGGACCGTGGGTCAAAACCACGATCCACGGCTCCTTATCACCCCGGAAAATCAGGATATCCTTGCCCTCAGGCGACACAACAGTTACACTGACTGGAAAATCACACCGTATCTCTTCCCGAATCCTTCTCCGAAGAGGAAGAAGAGGAAGATGGAGAGAGTGACGAGAGTGGCGGGGCGGCACCACAAAATTCTCCTCCCAGGGGTGGTGCCACCTCATGCCATCAGGCTGGACACCCATCCTATCACCAACAATATATATATATATATATATATATATATATATATATCAATTCCAATCGATCTATACCCGCCTCGACACTTACAATCAAGATCTCGCGAGCCTGAGTCAAAGTTTCTCTTCTTTCACCACTCAATACACTCGGGATCAAGAGCACCAGCGTAAACAGGAGGAGGACTTTTGGGCTTGTACCAGAAACTCCGATTACTATCCTTATCCTCCTCCTCCTACGCAATAGGTTGTTCCGCTCTCTCCAAGAATCGGGGACGATGCATATCTTTAAGCTTGGGTAGGGGTAGAGTTGTACATTAGGTGCATTTCATACTCATTCTTACCTTTCCTAAAAAAGAGAGTTTTTATTTCAAGTTTTTACATTTTATCATTTTTTATCATTTTCATGCACCATCATCAACTTTCAAAAAAAATAGGGAGTACAGATGATGACATTCTTTACATGTAATAACTCCATGAAAGCGGGAAATTGAGAACTCAAATGGAAAAAAAAAATTACTGAAGTGACCGGATAGTTAGCGGAAGCATAGAATCAGCTATCATAACTAGGGGACCTAAAGACCGTGATTCGAGACGCCAGACTTAGATAGTAATAAAAAAAATAGCATACCGAAACGTTTTTGTGGGCGTTAATAACATCTTTAGGATGATTTGCTTCTGAATGTTTAAAAAGAATCTTTATCGGCAACTCTGGACCCACAGAACACGAACCTATTTGTTGACACATGTTACCCTCACGGTAACAGAGAGCTTAAGTATAAGATACACACAGTCAAGAAAGAAGAATGGGTACAACTGTCATATCCAGTACCCTAAAAAAAAGAGATGCACTTAATCGAAGAAACTTTCAGAAATTCAAACGTTTATTGAAGAATTCAAAGCTCAAACAAAGATACAAATCTAAGTCAATCAAAAATCAAAAGCCGCCTCAAATTCTAATCTGGCGAATGAAGAACTGTGTGATATGATACTTGTGGCTCTCGAAAAAGTGAAAGCATAGGAGTTGGGCCCCTTCGGGTGGGCTCACTATTTCAGCGAAAGCTGATTTGCCGTGACGGGTTCTTAAGGATGCATCGATTTTGATTCTTGACCATCTAGTCTTAAGGACATGAGATGCGGACTCTGTTATTTTCGCCTATAAAGCTAATTAAGGTATCAAGTTTAAATAAAACTATGGTTGGTTTATTGGGATACATTGTTTCGGGTCATCCTCACTTTCGGAGTCTGTGATATGTGGAAGGAAGCAGGATGGTTGCTTAGGTATTAATGATTGGAGCCATATTGATGTAAAGCCTGATCGTACTTATAGAGATGATTTACTTGTGTCTTAAACTTCCTTTTTGGTACATTTTGCTTCTTTAGTTCTTTTGTACATTTTTTTTTCTTTTTCATGGTTTTTCATTGCATGCATTCATTCCTATCCTTTAGGATCTTTCTATCCCTTTTTTCTCTATGTTTCTTTTTGCCTTTTAGAAATCGTCAAGTTTTGTCTGATTCTTGTGCTTTCTTGGGGACAAGAAAGGTCTAAGCTTGGGGAGATTTGTTAGGTGCAATTTGTGCACCTTTTTGCACACCTTTTAGTCCCATTTCATGCATCTAGTTAGCATAATTGTCCTTCATTTGTCTTGTATTTCATCATATTTCATGTTAGTCTCTAGAACAACCTTATTTGCACATTTTCATGTCTTTTTCAGGTAAACCAGAGGTTGGAACGCGCTTTGGGAGGTGCCGAGAAGCATTGGTGAAGATTTCGGGATGATCGGGCGAAGAACAAAAAAGTTAGAAAAATCAAGTTTGGATTCGGAGTCAGAGGGGTACACGTGCCGTGTTGGATTTACACTGCAAAATCAATATGGGCCGTGTTGAGCAAAATGGGAGTTGTTGACCATGCTGAAAACGGGCAGTGTTAGTTTTACTCTCTGTCCAACACGGGCCGTGTTCGACCTAGAAACCAACTTTTTTCAGTTTTTCCTATCTTTCATATTACGGGTTAAGGGCCATTTTTACACACACACACACACAAGATATCATAGCACATTGGGTGAGGGGATTTTAAAGGTTTTTGCAAGGGTTTGATTAGTAATCATTTGGAAACATTATTTCTCGTATTTGTAAGTTGTAATTGCACATTACTTTCATCATTTAGACTTGTGATCTTGTTCTAGCCATGTGTGACTAGAACTCTAGTTTCTCCAATTTCATGTGTTAACTTCTTGGTAGTGACTTCAATCATATGACATGATGTTTGGTTTCAATTTCTATCTAATGAATTTGATTTTGCTACAATCGAATGTTTGATTCTAATTGTGATTCTTATTGGCCATTTGAATTAGGGTTAGGTCATTCAAGTTATCTCTTTTACAAAATCCGTAATTGTTTTGTGAAATTGAACAAGTAACAAGCATTAAATTAATCGCTATTGAATGAATTTAGTGTAAATCTTATTCACACACTTTTATACTCCCGAGCTTGTGAGGAGTATTAGGTGTTATTGGGAACATTCACATAAATCTTGATGCAATCTTTTAATCTAATTCTAAGATCTTGTTTAGATTAGGTTAGTAAGGTTAGGGTTAATCAAAGAGCTTGTTTTGGTTAATTAATGTGGTGAATGGAAAGTGTTAGAGCTTATTAACACTTTCAAGTACCAACTTAGATAGAGCTGAACGAATATTATGTCATCTTTGAGTCACATTGCTAAGTTATCATACATGAAGTTGGAGTCCTTACAAAATCTGAATTTAATTTACTCATTTAGCTGACTACGTGTGTTTTTAATTGTTTTTGTTTAGTCATTACACTCTAACCCCCCCCCCCCCCCCTTCACTGTTGGTGACCATAATACCTTGCACAAAGAGGTATAGACTAATTATCCTGTGTCTCTGTGGATCGACCCTACTTTCCTTGTACTACCTTTTAGTGCATTATAGTGAGATTTTGTGGAGTATATCATACTCCTTTAGTTGTTGGATTTGACACGCCTAACAACAACTTTGTACTCCGGTGATCCTTATTGTGAATGAACGTTAGATGGATCCGTAAAACAATTTTATATAAAAGTCATTTATGACATTTTGTGAAATTTCACCTAAGAACCATATGTGAAACTTCACCTAAGAACCATTTCTCAAAATATACATATTACATTTTTCATATTTTACTTTATTACCTTTTTTATTTGATTTATTGAATATTACAAATATATTTTATTTAATAAATAAATAATTTTTGTTGTCTAAATTTTATTTAAAATGTTTAAACTACAATACATCATTTAATATGTTTGATTTTCTATTTTTTTTATCTAAAAATATTTCAAGTATTAAAACATCATTTATATTTATATTTTTCTTATACAAATATATTTATTGTTATGAAAAAAATATAATGCATTATTATAAATAAAACATGTTATTATAAAAATGAATGTTGTTATTTGCTTTTAAAAATATTAATAGGTGGTTTTGATTTAAATGTACACTTGTGGTTTTATTCTTAATTTTGATAATATTAATACGTTGTTGTCTCCAATTCATATATATATATATATATATATATATATATATATATATATATATATATATATATATATATATATATATATATATATATATATATATATATATATATATTAGGGATGAAAGTGGGTCCAAACCCGGACCGGATGGACCCGGACCCGGAAAACCCGGAACCGGTTAATGGGATTTTGTAGAACTGGAAACCGGACCGGTATATAGGAACCGGTTCCGGTTCGGTTCCGGGTACGGTTCCGGGTAAAGTGGGTCTAGAACCGGAAAACCTGGAAACAATAAAGTGGGTAGGATGGAACCGGATAAAGTGGGTTTAGAACCGGAAAAACCGGAAAACCCGAAAAAACCAGAATTTTTTGGTAATTGCTTACTACTTAGCGGATTAAATGTTGAAAATTTTCATATTGATATCCCGACTTTGGGGGACTGTAACTCATTGAATAAGAAACTAAAATTAACAAAATTATAGTCTAAAATCATGTACAAACTCTAAACTACACTCTGGAGAAAACCGCATGTCAATCCGACTTTAAACGAATCAGATATGCATGTGTTAACATTTTCACATAATACAAAGTACAAAAACAAATTGCTGAAAAGTTGAAAATTTTCAGTTTTGATATCCCGAATTTGGAGGACTGTAAATCATTGAATGTTAAACCAAAAATGACAAAATTAAAGTCTAAACTCATGTACAAACTGTAAACTTCAAGTTGCAAAAAACCACATATCAATCCGACTTCAAACGAATTAGATATGCATGTTTTAAAACTTTCACCGAATACAAAAAAACAAAAAAACTAAAAACTTCCAGCTTTGATATCTCGACTTTGGGGGACTGTAAGTCAATGAATATTAAACTAAAAATGGCAAATTTATAGTCTAAAAACATGTACAAACTCTAATCTACATGTTGGAAAAAACCGCATGTGAATCGGAGTTGAAACGAATGAGATATGCATCTTTTAAACGTTTCACAAAAACCGGTTCCGGCCCTAAAAGTGGTTCCGGTTCCAAACACCGGTTCCGGTTTTTTGGACCCGTTTTACCCGGACCCGATGGACCCAAACCCGGATTACCCGGAACCCGGATAAAGCCAATTTTTAAACCCGGAACCGGAACCGGTTTTATATATTCCGGTTCTAACGGTTCCGGTTCCGGGTTTCCGGTTCTAAATCT